CCCAGCCAAGAGCATGGAAAAAAGACAGCTTATTTCCTGTCAGCTCAGTCCCAAACATGCTGCCACACGCTCCAGCAGAGCCTGGGAGAAACTCAAGAGGGGAAAAAAAAAAACCACCAAACCCTGCAGAGAGCTGGGAAGACTCATTTGTTTGGCATCTGGAGGCAGTGGAGGCTGGGACAGAGGCAGCAGGGTGCTGGCAGGGCTGAGGGGACCAACTTCAGTCAAACTGGAGGCAGAACGAGACCCGAGGAGCCCTCCCCTGGTTGTTTTGCCACGTTGCTCCCTTATTTTAAATCCCCCAGCCCTGGCCTGCCCCGAGACCCCTCCTGTGGGTTGAGCATCTCAACTCTCCTTCCAGTGGGCCCAGAAAGAGCAAAACTGTGCCCAGGGCAGCTCCCACTGCTCGGTCACAGCCAGCCAGGGAGTGCAGGACAGGGAGCAGCATCACTGCTGGCGTCACCCCCAAAGCTCCCCGAGCATCCAACCACAAACAAAGCGAACCTGAAGCATCCTTAAATGTCCCCGTTGTCTCCGGGCGGGAGGGAGGCGGCGTGGACAGCAGGAATGTGGGGAGGATGAACGGCAGCTTTTGTGCTGAGCCATCTGAGGAGAGATCAAAGATCCTTTTATAGTTGGGCTGGGAGTTCAGCCCAGCACCTCCCTGTGTCTCTTCCCAGTTGCTCCCAAGGTTGTCCATCCCGTTGCAGGCTTTTATACAGCAGGAACAACACCAGGGGGGATGTAATATATGTATTATTACACTGCACTGCAGGAGCAGCTGTCCCTTGGTTTACATGTTAAAGTACAACCAACCAAACCCATCTCACCCCCCATTTTCACTGTCACCCAACACGCTGACCTTGGAGTGTCACCTTTTGTCTCCTGTTTATTGGCAGGAAGATTGTATTATGTGCTGACAAACTCCTGCTAATGTTATCCCTGAGTGGCACTCCGTGCTGAGTGAATGAAGCCTGAGATATTTACCTTGCACTTGGCATCCTGCAAGGCAAACTTTCCAAGAAAAACGTTGAATTGCCTTCTCTGTGTGTGTGAAGGTTTCCAAAATCCTGCACAGCTCCAAGCCCTGAGCTGTGGGTGTCAGTCAGCCTTTCCAAAGGCAGGACTCTGCACTCTCCATAGTCATCACAGATGGGAAGGAGAAGGGAAATTCCCAAATTTTTTTATTTGTTTTTTTTTTTATAATTTTTATTTCTGGTTCATTGAAACTGGCTGGTAAAGTATTGTGTGATCCTTGAAACCAAGATTCACCACTGAGTCACAGCTCTCCACCTACGAGGAAAATAAATAAGATGTGAGGCTGGAGGGTGGGAGACTGAGCAGGGACCAGGGGGGAGATGCTGCTGAGCCCCTTCCCAGGGGTAGGTGTGATCCCAGAGCAGGGATGGAGGTGAGAAAGAGGAATATTTTTTATGTTTTCCAGAGAAAAAACTGCATTCCCGTGGCTTTGTGTTCATCAGAGGTGACTTTAGTTTTTACTTCATCCCGTATGTGGATTTTTATGGATTCATTTAGGACAAGAGGAAATGGCCCCAGGTTGTGCTGGGAAGGGGTTTAGGTTGGATAACAGGGAAAATTCCTGCACTGAGAGGATGGTCAAGCTCTGGAATGGGAGAGCCAGAGGAGTGGTGGAGTCACAGCCCCTGGAAGAGTTCCAGAAACACGTGGATGTGGCGCTGTGGGACGTGGTTTAGTGCTGGTTAATGGTTGGACTGGATGATCTTAGAGGGCTTTTCCACCTTTAATGATTCTGTGATTCTGTAACTTGGCAGAATATGCTTCGAATGGCAAAAAAAAACCAACCAAAAAAACCCAAACAGGAATGTTTTGTTTTCTTTCCAAAATATTCCATTTAAACC